TAGTCAACTAAAATGATGATTAAGATTAAATTTCTTTGCATTTAATTTTTAATAAATTTGATAAATGTTAAAATTATACACTTTATTATCCTTAATACAATTTAAATATTATTCTAGACAATTTAATTTATAAAAATTTTGAGAAATAGGAGTTTGGGTATAAATATGAAAGATTTTCTGCGAAAAAATAAAAGAAATCTTTTTTAACAAACTCGAATAATAAAATAATAAACAATTAAAAAGCGAAGAAAAAAACTTTTTATTATTAAAGCAAAAAATTGGAAGAATAAAAAGAATATGATTTTTGCCTAAATCGGATAGAAAGCCTTAAGGCTGCATAAGTATATAGTTTAATAATTTAAGGATAAAACAAATATTTTGAATCCTGATTGTTTATTAATATATTTATATTATATTATATTTATTTAATAATATATAATGATATATATATTTTTAAAAATTATTTAATTATAAAATCTTTATATATTAAATAATAAATACAAAATTAAATAAATTATTATATATTAATTTTATTAAAATAATGTATAATTTATAAATATTTTTATCTGTATGTTTAATATTTTATATAAAAAAAAATTAAATAGATTATTTTTATTTAATATTTTTAATTATATAAAAAATAAATATTTAAATAATTTTAAATAAAATAAAAATTAATTAATTAATAATATAAGAGAATAAATTATTATAAAAAATGAATATAAAAATTATAATTATTCCTTTAAAATTATTAAATTAAAATATATATATATATATATATATATATATAATATATATATATATATAAATATATATATATATATATATATATATATAAATAAGAATTTTATAAATGTCTCTCTAAAATAAAAAATAAATAATTAAAAGATAAATTTATATGTCAAAATGTTATATATAATAAATAAAAGTAAATAAAATATTATCTTAAAAAATAAATAAATAAATATTAATTTATATATTTGTAAAAATAAATTTAAAGTATATAAATAAAAATAAAATAGAAATTAATCAATATATATTTAGAAAATTATATAAACAAAAATATATATATAAATATATATATATATATATATACATATATATATATATATATATATATATAATTTTTTTATTTAATTTTAAATTTTAATATTTAAAATATTAATATTTTATTATTATATTAATAGTATTTTTTTTATTTTCTTTAAAATATAAATTATCTCATATTGAATTATTAGAAGAAAATAAAAAATATAGTGTATTTAAAATAAAGGCACATTTTTCATGATTTAATGGATTTTCATATCCTATAAAAATATTTGAACTTATACTGTCAGGCAAAAGCTATATTTTTAACCAAAAAACATCATTTTTAATTGCAAAAATATTCCCTAATTTATATGAGCAATTACCACTCATAAAATCAAATTCTTTTTCTTGATTTAAATGAACAATTTTTTAAAAATAATTTTCATATTCATGTATTGATTTTGCAAATTTGGGCGAATTTTACGGAATGAATATATTTTTTTTATATTATAACTTCTTGTAAGTTTCTTTGAAACTTTCTTTAGAACATTCTTTATATTCGAAGGCTTTATTTATTGTAGTAGGAAGGCCTATACATATCGGTTAAGGTGCTTCTTGGTAATTTAATATCAAAAAAAGAGGTTAAAAGGGATAAAAATAATAATTATAGACTATATCGACCTTCTTTTGTACTTATGGAAGTATTTCAAAAATAAAAGGTGAATTAATTGAAAAATTAGATTATTAAGTGGGCTCACAAGGATTAAAATTAATATTTTTGAGTGTTTTATCTGTTTTATTTTCTAAATAGAGAGATATAAAAAAAGCTGAATGTTCATGCTTTGTAAGAACTCCAAGCTAAATTTAGGAATCTTCATATAAAAGGTAACTTTATTTAAGACAAGAATATTTAAAACTGTTTAATTTTGTTACATTTTATATTATTAATGAAAATAAAGATTTATCAAAGGAAATTTAGTTTTCTTGAAGTGGAAATTAATTAGGTTTAGAAGATTTTTTAACATTATTATTATTATTTTCAATTTCTATAATTTATTTTTTGGAAGAACTTTCAAAGATTTTTTATTTTTTTTAGGGAGAATTTGTTTATATATTATTATTATTAGTATTATTTTAAATTTTAGATAATAATATATTATTTTATTGATTTAAATTTTATAACTAAGTTTATAATTATTAATTTTCTTATTATAATTTATCGATATTAATTTACATATTTTTAATCATCTTTGATTTTTCTTCATTTTCTTTTCTTAATTTTATAATTTATTCATTTTAATATTTTTCATTAGATAACCGAAGTTCCATAAGGCGATATTTAAGTACATTATTTTCACTTTTAAGTGAACTTTTTTCTGTAAAAGAGGCAATTTTTTTTTCTGTATTATTATTTTTTGAGTTTATTGAATTGTTTTTTAAATTTATTTATGATTATTTTAGAGATTATTCATTTAAAAATCTTAAAAAACGACTTTATTTTTAACTTTCTTTTTTAACATTTTTTTCTTATGAATTTATTAAGAATTTACTAATTTACAATTCTTCCTATATGTTATTTTTATAAATTTTTTCGTGATTTTTTAGGGATAAAAGAGCGTATTTTTGACAAAATAAATCAATTTTTTCTTCGTTTTTATTCTATATAGTGTCTAAGTCTTATTAAAAAGTATTATATTATATTTATTATTGAACTATTTATTCGAAATATTCAACTGATTGTTATTCTTCTTCTAATAGAATATCATTTATAAGCTCCGAGAAGTTTATTTCGCTCATTTATTGTGAAATTTCATATAGTTTTTGGTGGAATTCTAATCCTTTTTACCGATTTTGGAATATAAAGCTTTATGTACATACTTCTTAGTATAAAAGTTCAAAAAGTTGAATGCTTTTGAAATATTTATTTTCTGTTTTTTATAAAGGTAAAGGATTTATTAATAAAAATGATTTTTTATCATTTATTGTTTAATAGTATAATAATTCTGCCTTTTTTTCATTTGATATTTCTTTAGTATTTATTGATTGATTTAGGTTAATTTAGGTATTTATTTAATTTAGTAAATTAATAAAATTTAAATAATCAGGTTCTTGTATATTATTTACGTTTTTAAAATAATATTTATTTTTTTATGCTTATTCAGATAAAATTTATATAGAATCTTTTAATTCAGAAATTATTTCATTTATGTTTTATTTATTTTTTAATAATATTTCTACTAACTATATATTTTTTTATTTTATTTTATTATATTTTTTACTTATAATGTTCTTAAAGTTTATTAAAGACCATATTCAGGATTTAATAAAATGATTTTAATTGTTATAATAACTTTATAGAAGTTTTATTCAAATTACTATTCATTTAAATAATATTAAGTTATATCTTTTAGAGTTTGTGTAAAGAAATTTTAAATATTTTACATATATAAGTATATTTTTTTTTTAAGAAAATTATTAATTTATAATAATATAAAATAAAATAAATTAATTTCTTTTATTAAAAAAAATTAAATATTTTTATTTATTTTAATTAATTGACAAAAATTATTAATAATATTATATATAGATAAAATATAAATATATATATTATCATTTATTCTTATGTATTTTATATTTGCTTATAAATTTTTAAATTCAATTTTTTTATTATATTTTATTTTTTTTAATGAAAATAATATTTAACTATTCATTAATTTAAGATAAAAAAAAAAAGCTAAACTAAAAATATAAAATATAAATATTGATTCATTTAAATCATATTCCAAAAAAAAAAACATAAAAAAATATGATTTTATAAAAATAAAAATATTTTATTCTATATTTTATATATATAAAGTTGTTCATACATTTTTTATATAGCTTAAGAGAAAAAAAATAATAGTTTATTAATTAATAAAATAAGGATTTCTTATATTTTTATATATATCATTAAAATTATAAAGAATCAGTAGTTTCCATAACTATTGTTTTCAAAAGTAGCTCTTATAATATATGTTTTGTCTATTAAGTTTTTTCTATTATGTATTAAATATACTAAATAAAAATTTCATTTTAAGCAACATAGGTTTTTTTTTTATTTCTTTTATACCTATCTGCTATTATTCTTAATTATTCATATGTATTTGAAGTATTTGCATATAAATCTTTTAATTCATCAATTTAATCATTTATTTTAGTCACATAATGCTTACATACACTAACCATTTTTTAGTTATTCATATATTTTAAAAAATAAGTACTAAGTTATTTTTCTTCTATTTGATTTTCTATTACAATAAAATCATCCATTTTTATTAAATTTAATCCCATTTCTTCATTTTCTATATTTTATTCGGGTTTTAATAAGTTTTAATCAAATGGAATTGTTTAAATTTTTTTCTATTATATATTGATATAAATATCAAATTATTTGTATAATTTATTTCTGGTTTCTATTATTTTAAATTATAAAGATGAAAATTATTATATTTGAATTTTTAATTCTTGTTTAAAATAATTTTATTTTTCTTTAAATTTAGAACTTAATCCACATCCCATTTTTTTTTTAATTTATAAATAAAAATAATTACTATCTGTATAACTTATATTTTGATTTTGTTAATTAATTAAGTGCTATATTTACTTTTAAAAAAGTTAAAGATTATAAAAAATCTATTATTATATATAAAAATAGAATTAAAATCTATTTTATTATGTAAAAAATAGCATTTATTTAAGAAATAATGCAAATATAATTTTAAAAACAAATATTGAATAAAAGAAATATAATTTTAACTTTATATAAAATATTTTTTTTATTTAAAAAATAAATCTACTAAAAATTATAATTATGATACTTTAAAACAATTTATACTCTGTTTATTAAATATAAAATATTAGTTTCTGAAATATTTTAGATGTTTTGAAAAAATAATAAAAAAAATAAAATTAATTTTTATTAATAAACAAATAACTTTATATAATCTATTTTAATTAAAATTAGAAAACTTATCATTTTCATAAAACAATTAAAACTCCAAAAATCAAAACTTTAAAAATCAAAAAAATACCAAAATTTTTTAATTCTAAAAGCACATTTTTACTTTCATTTAATTTTTAATTTTCTAAAACATTAATTTAAGTAAAAACTTATTAAACATTTTAATCTTGATCTTTTAAATTCCTAATATTCATTTTTTACAAATCCAAACTTATTTTAAGTTCAACGACAATTGAAGCATTAACTTAAGGTTAAAACAATAAAACATTAATATCAACACTGCCAAAATTTTATCTTAGAATCCAAAATTATGTATTTATAGCATAATTATATATTCCTCTATCATCAATAAATTTAACATTAGTAACTTATAAGTATTTTTTATATGTATTATCAGCAAATTAAATTCTGGCAAAAAAATTCTAACCGACTACATAATTTTTTTATTAAGTCATGTTTTATTCTAAGAATTATTCGCATTTAGAATCTAAACAAATATAACCTCTAGTGTCTAAGTTAGCAATAATAATACATTATTGTCCTTAATCACACCCTTATGTTATTTATTTAGAAATATCTAAATGAAAAGTTTCTACTTGGTCCCTATTTGTGTAAATTCTCATTTAAAATTAATGTTCTCGAATAATTTTTCCAAAACTCTAAAATTCAATTTGGAAGCAAATTTTTTAATAAATCGTTCTTTCCTCAATAATTGTAGAAGAAGATAAATCATAAACCTCAATAAGTGGGATTTTTATAATATTTGGATCCGAATTTTCTATATATTTTTAATTATCTAAAGGTGCATATCCGTCTTTACAATTTTTCGAATAAAAAAAGTTTACATTTAAATATTCTCTACACTGGTTTTAATCAAAATTTCCAATTGTCCTTTCCCAATTAAATATGATTTAATCTTTTACATATTTTCTTCCATTTTCATTCAAAAATTCACATTTTGACAACAAAACAACATTTATAATTTAATTATATAACTACCATTCACAAATATGGGCTTTTTTAGCTTTCTGTTTTTCCTCACATTCCCATTAGTTGATTCCTTTTTTCAAGTAAAATCAGGAGTATTACATTAACAGTAATCTTTTTCTACAATAGAAGCCATTTACGGTTATCTACACCTAGTACATATATTACAACTTGAACATCCATCATCTACTAAATCACAATGACAACTGGGATGACAAGAAGTATTTTTAATACAGGTTATTCGATCACGAGATAGTATATGGGAAGGAGGGCAATCTATGCATATATTGCTGTTTTCTATACATTTTTCACAGGAAGGGTCACATGCTAGTATTGAAGGTGTTTCTTTGCAATTTATTATTTCACCAGTTTTAGTATCATATTCTTCTTGGTAATTTTCAAAGCATTTACAAAATAGTTCATTTGAGGAATTTTGGGTTTGTATAGAATTTTCAGGACATTGCTTTTGGGCTTACTCTTATCCAGGTTATGATATTTTTTGATCGAAGTCTATTATAGATTGAATTTTCGAGCAAGTGGATGATATATAGTTTGATAAATAGTCTTATTAAACAAACGCGTTCTTTAGGTTTATATTTTCATATGATGTTTGGCATTATAGATAAGTTTTTTTTATTGGAAGTTTTATATTTTCGATTATAATGTTGCTATTATTTAATAAAATAACTGGGAATAGAGAGGCTTGGATTAAAACTCCGCTTATAATTTGGTTGAAAGATATTAAAGTTCCAACTATATTTATGTTTTGGAATTAAACTTAGTTAAAAAAGGATATTTATTAATCAAGGTTAAATATTATTGTATCTAGGCTTATTTTTTAGTTATTTTGCAAACCTTAGAAATATAATGATATTCCTTTATTTTAATTTTTGTGAAAATTGAGAGAATTGTTTATTTTTAAAATGTTTTTTATTTTAAAATTTAAATTAATATCTTTTTATAAAGTTCTTGTTTTTATTTATAAATTCTATTTTTTTATTTTATTTAAAAAAAATAAAAATAAATAAATATATATATAAAATTATCTTTACTTTCATAAAAATATAAGAAACGATTTCATCTTTCGAAAAAGGATCTAATAAAGACCCTTCTCCGAAATAAGGGTTATCATTTTATATTAAAGAAGTATTAAAAAAATATGTATTTTAGCACTTTTAACAAGCTTTATTATCCAATAAACACTCATCTATATTTTTAAAAAAGACCCTAGAATCCTCATATGCTAAAAAAATGCTATTATCTTGAAGAAATCTTACTTACTAAACTATATTATCAATTCCATTAGAGAATAAATTTAAAACTACATCAATAAAAAATCCCATTTATTCATCAAATTTATAAATTTTGATATTTCCATTACTAATATCTCCCAAAAGAAGCAAATTTTTATTTTTATTTAAATCAAAGGAAATCATTCTTCCCTAAAAAGTTTCCAAATGTAAACCTTTCATTTATTTATTTATTTAATATTACATAACCTTTAAATCCCTACATTGTGTTAAAAGTAAAGAGTTTTCATTTTTTTCTAAAATAAATCCTATTACAGGTTAAAAGCATACATTTTAATAAAAATTTAAATATTGTAAACTTTCCATATCCCAAATGTGGATATTTCCCAAATTATCCATTCCTATATATTGATTTTGGTAAAAATAAGGAATTGCAAAATAGCCAAACAAACCTTAATTTTCGTTAGGAGACGATAATTATTAAACTTCATTATTATTAATTAAATTAATTATGTCGAAAAAGCTATTTATTTTATTAGCCGTGGATATAATACATAAATATTTTCCTTTATAAAAAAAGGGATTTATTTAATAAAATAGCCTTGCCCATCCTCCTTTATATATACTAGGGTTTAGTGAGTATTTTTTTAATTCTAATGTTTCATAATTTAATATATAAACTCCGTTTTATGTATCTTATGCGTATCTTATAAATATTTAATTACTTGGATCTCCTTTTATTTTTAAAATACTCTAATAGAGAGTTGAAGGATTATATTCTAAATCGAATATTTTTAAAGGTTTTCCATTTAAATCTTATAAATCTATTATTTATAGTTACTTGTTAAGTGTCGTTTATACTAAATATTCTTTGCCATCTTTTATTATTATTTCTCCTGATTAATTTGGGGAAGAGTCTAGTTTAAAAAAAGTCTTAATTTCTTTCGTTAAAGGGTTAAATATATTCAAATTAAACACATCTTACATTAATATTTATGGTTCGGGGTTTCCTTTTAATTTTAACCAATATCCTATTGATTGAATATTTAATTATTCTAATTATTATAAAGTAAATACTAATTATTCGTTTTTAATTTGATATTTTAAATCAAAATAAAAAATATTTGATTAATCATCATTCATTAATAATTATGTTTCACTTATAAATTATAAATTAAGTATATTTGTTTATAATTCTTTTTTTTTTTTATTTATTTATTTTTTAAATCATTTTTTTTTTACATTGTTCAAATAATAAAGTGTAATCTTCTTTTGTGTAGTTTTATAAATCTATAATTTTTATAGTATTTTTATCTCCGACTATTATTAGCACATCTAAAATCGGATGTTTAATAGCATTAACTACAAAAGAATTAATAGTATATTAAGCTATTTTATTTTAAAATAAATTTATGAAAAAAAATAAATATATATTTTAAAATATTACATGCTTAAATAAATCCGTATTAAATATATGAATTAGCATCCCAAACAGATAATTAGGAGCCTAAAGTAATTAAAATAAGTTACTTTTAATTGTTTAAATTTATAATATATGAAATATATTAATCTAAATTTTAATATTATTTTTAATTTTCAAGTTTATGTATTTCTTTTTATTATAAAACGTCATATATTATAGAATATGTTTTGCCTACTATTAATATTAAAGTAGTATCTTATATGTAATTAATTGTTCTAATTATATCGATTGTTTAAAAGGAAAATTCTTATTTTAATGTATATTAATTTAATACTTGAATCTGAATTAAATCCGAAACTATTACTTTTTAAAGCTTTTCCAAATAAAGTAATATATATATTTGCTTCTCAGCTTTTTTAAAAAATAAAATAAATTATATATAATATCATAATTATAATAAATAAATAAATTTATTCTTTTTTTATTTATTAGCAAATTATTTTTAGTTTTATTTGTTTACATTTTTATGTGTTTAATATTTATCCAGTTTTCAAATCTAATTAATAAAGAATATTCATATTTAGTTATTAATAGACTATTGTATTTATCAAAAGAATTGGAGTGTTTGCTATTTATATTGAATTAGCAATAAAATAATATCCAGATAAACGTGGTCCTATTATTTGTTAAATAATCTGTTTTTTTAGTATTAATTAATTTATATAAATAAATACTTGCGTATTCTTGTATTTATATACATTCGTTTGTAAATATAATCTAATTTAAAATAAAATATAGAACTAAATAATAGATAATTATCATTTTTTTAATTATAATTTGTCAATTTATTTTTTATATTTTTTGCAACTAAATTATGGTTTTAATTTAATTTAAATGTGTTTAGGATGTATTTAATTTATAATTTTAGAAATGTCTATTTTTAAGAACGGAATAGAATTAACCGAAAAAAAGCGTTTTTTTTCTTTTTTTAATGAAATTTATTTCTTTTTTATTGTAATGCTTTAGTTTCTTATATGATGCTTATATAATAATAATCTACTAAAAATACATTTTTAAATATTATTTATTAATAAATAAATATTATAGAAAATACAAAATTAATTAATTTGTATATTATTTACCCAAGAAAAAAAAAAAAAAAAAATATTATATGAGAGTTGTTAGTATTTATTTATTTTTTTATAAATAAAAAAAAAATTATTAAAAATATTTAAAATTTCAGTATTTTTATAACAAATAAAATAATATTACATTGTTTAAGAGTCTTAAGTAATTAAGATTACTTTTACCTATTTTAAAAATTTTCTAAGATTAAGGCCACTTTATGACTATAAAAATAATAATAATAGAGATTGGCTTTAATCAATGATATCGAATATCTCAAAAAATTTTAAAAATAGTTCGAATGAAATATCTTTTTTCATGTATATAATAATTAAGTATACATTGTTACTAATTTAATAAATAGTGAGATAATTCTTAATTTTTTTTTAAAAAAAAAATATTGATTTTATTCATAAATATTTTTTTGAATTTCATAGGCTTAATTGGAAATATATATTTTTTTTAACTAAAATTTGCGACTATATATTTATTTGATAGTTAATTATACACTATCCTAAATAAATTATATAAATAAATGATTATTTTATATAATAATATGTATTATATAAATTATATTTAACTTTTTTTTTTAATTTTTCTATTATTATATTTTTTATGCAAAAAATATATATTTTATTAAATTTCTTTAAATTATAAAGTTATTTATATATTGTATTTTTTTATAAACATAGAATATTGTTTAATGATATCTAAAATATTGAATAAATAATTATTAATAATTTGACTTTATAAATTAATGAAAATTATGTATTTTTAATACAGGCATTATGGGGTTTATCTATAATTTATTAAATATAATATACAAAAATATTTACAAATCGCTACTGCCTTTTTTACGTTATAATAATTTATAAAAATACTTGAGAGACTCCAGACAGTTTAAATAAAGGATTTTTTTTTTTTTTTGGGAAATATTTTTGAAAATATGATGTTATTATCATTATATATGTGAAATTTTCAAAGTTTATATAATATGGGATTTAATTTAATTGTTTATTAGTTCTTTTATGAATTAATTATGTTATTTTTTTGATATTTCCTTTCTTTAAATTTTATCTTTGTAAAAATATATAAATTAATTAGTTATTTTTATTATTGTTAATTAAAAATAGGAAATTATATTTATAAAGGTTTTTTATTAGTACTAATATCTCGATTTTTAAATTAACATTAAATAATTGTTTTTAAGAGTAAATAATTTTATTAGAATTTTAAATTGTTTTTTCACAATTAATTTTGGAAAAAAAGCTTTTGTTTGATAAAATGCTTGCTATTTTTATCAATTATAAAAATCTTAATAATATCGTGAAAAAAATAGATAGTGTTTTTTAAAATATTCTATATAAAGTCCATAAAGATTTAAATAAATATTCAAATTGTTAAATATAGCGATTATTTTTAAAAAATATTTATTATTATTGGGAATAATCCCATCAATATTTGATATTCTTTAATTCATTAAAGAATTAATATTTTTCAATAAATATTTAGGTCATTTTTTTAATTACTTTATTTTATTTTTGGAGAATAATTTTAATTAAACTATTTAAAAAATCTAATATGCTAGCTAATTAAAACCAATAACATCAAAATACATGCACTTAGTTATGTAAAATAATTTCTATATTTTATTCATAGAAAAGAGTTAATATTAAAAATAAATAATGGAATTAAATTTTAAATATAAACTTTTATTTTTTTAATTAATTACTAAGAAGAAAAGTATCAATAATAAAAAAACAATTAATGCTAAAGATAATAATAACAATAAAGTTAATTAAAAAAAATATATATTACCTAATCAAAGTGAAAAACACAACTAATAAAGGCCTAAGTTGAAAAATATTGCAGAAACAGAAAAAAAGTAGATAAAAAATGGATAAAAAAGACAAATAATATGCCTAATATCTAAAAATTAATTCAATATACATATCTTAACATTAAAAAAATAATATTATATTATTATTTAATATAAAAACTAATATTTAAAAAATTCGATTTCATGTTATTAATTTTTATTATTTTTATATTTAAATTTAAATGAGTTTACCTTTTATAATATATATAAGTTTTATTACAAATATTCCATTTTTTTAACTTAAAATTCTATTTTAAATAAAAAAAATTTACATTTTTATTTGCTTTTTAAAAATGGAAGAATTCGATTTTTTATT